ATGTACGTGAATGAACTGATTGAGGAGCTCAGTAGCACCAGGATTGGTGGTTATGTGGACGGGACCTGCCTCAATAACGTCAGTTACGCAGACGACATGGTGCTCCTGAGTGCCTCAATCTGTGGTGTCAGAAAACTTGTCCAGGTATGTAAGTTATGCTAAACAACATGGTTTGATTTACAACGTGAAGAAATCGGAGGTCATGGTGTTTGACGCTGTTAGCGGTACGACCGTCACCCTTAGCGGTACGACTTTACGGAGAGTTTATAGTTTCAAATATCTTGGCCACATGTTAACCCCTGACCATTCACATATATGGTCTTCAAGTAGAGTTGAATCATATATGCGTGAACTTCATCAAAATAATGAACAAGTATGGCTGTTAGGTAGGTATTTGTAATAGTAGAAAGATCTAATCTATAGGAGTTTTCCAGTGTCTAACTAATTTTTCAGGTGACTCTGGATATCCACAACGCCCTTGGCTTATGACACCTATCCTCAATGCAGTTCGTGGATCTAGGAAAGAACGATACACTCAATCATGGCATGTTGTGTGTTACACAATATAGCTTTGCAAGCTGGCTTACCACCACCACAACCACATCCTGCTGCACATGACGATGGGGATGATATAACTATGCAAGATCCTACACCTGCTGCAACTGTGATAATTAATATTATTTAACGGGAATTAACGCGATCTCTTATTTAGGGTATTACATACCTCTGGTTTGCCTGACGTTTCGACCAGGTTGCACCGGCCGTGGTCACAGGCTGACTGGCTCATCGGCGCACGCCCTCCGTCGTCGAATCCGTGAAGTAGAAGGCTCTTCATCTACCCGCACATTTTCGATATTGTTTTTGTGTCGCCATGTACCGTCACATACCACACTAACAGTGTCCCTATTCTGTAAGCAAACCGATGAGTCCCTATTCTGGTGTTTAACCGATTGCGCAGAAAAGCGAGTAAAACAGCGTTTAAAGTAAATAAAACAGCTTTATTACAATTACAAACAAGTTTATTATTGTTTTATGAAAACAAACATTCATAATAATTCGGTAGTGGCTTTTTTTTTTTTTTTTTTTTTCCATTTATTTAGGTAAATAAACAACGACACAATACAAAGTTTTAAATAACATTACTTATTAAGTATGTGCAACTGTGTCATCAGCGACATTTACCACAGAGTAATGAAGTAATATTTATAGGGTTTGAGAACATTGAGAGTTGATAGTTACAAAGTAACATTATGGATATTTATAGTAGCTTAATGTTTTATATTAATTAAAATTCAGACTTTCCAGCAAGAGTTTTTTAAAAGTACTAGGACGCGTTGCCATAAGATCAATAGTAAGAAAATGCTTGTTATAACTATCAACTAATCTGTGCATCGGTGATCTCTTGCCTGCATTAGTTCGACATCGAGAAGTTGCAAAAATTTTACAGATGTTACGACAATGAGTCCTTGCGGGTACGACATAACAAAGCTTGCTCGTAAGTGCAACGCAATCATAATTGTTGTGGCATAGATCATACAGTAACATTGCTTGTAAATATAAGCGTCTATGTTCTAATGTTATACAGTTATATTTTATTTGTAGATCTTTATATGAAGACGATTTGCGATAGCACCTGTAATGCATACAGCGCAAAAATTTTTTTTGGACTAATTCTATGGCAGTTATATACTTTTCATAAAATGGATTCCAGACTGGCACAGCATATTCAAGTTGTGAGCGAACTAGAGATTTATATAAATAAAGATAAGTCGAGGGCTGAGTAAAACATGTACTGGAGCGAACAATGAAACCATACATTTTAAAAGCGTTGCTAACTATAGTGTTGACATGGTTATCAAGTTGTAGCTTACTGTCTAAGAGGACTCCCAGGTCTCGTATTACTTCCACTTCTTCAATTTGTATACCATTTAAAGTGTAATTGAATTTACTGACATTTTTCTTTTTAGTGAAAGTGATAGATTTACATTTATTGACACTCAATGCAAGTTTATTCTTAATACAGTATGCTGTAAAACGGTCAAGATCTTGCTGAATTTTATAATGATCATCCTGCTGTTCAATTTTGTGATAAACCTTTAAGTCATCAGCGTAAAGTAAAATATTGGCAAATTTAAATGAGGATGTGACGTCATTTATAAAAAGAATAAACAGAAGCGGACCCAAAATTGAGCCTTGAGGAACGCCAGAGCTAACAGCAGTATAATCGGATTCATGACCTTTCAAGACTACTTTTTGTGTGCGATTGGTGATGTAAGATTTGAACCAACGCCACAAGTTGCCGCGTATACCATTAAAGGCCAGCTTCTCTAATAGTAATTTATGATCCACCCTGTCAAATGCCTTTCGAAAATCAGTGTAAATGCTGTCTGTCTGTTTATTTTCATCCATACTTTCAAATAAATATGATGTATAAATTATTAAATTTGTATTACAGGTGCGTCTTTTTACAAAACCGTGTTGTTCCTCAATAATTACATTATGGATAGATGGATAAACGTTATTATACACTAACCTTTCAAAAGACTTCGACAGTGTGGTCAAGATAGATATGGGCCGATAGTCCTCTATGTTGGACTTATCTCCACCTTTGAAAACTGGTACAATCCGGGCTGCTTTGAATATAGACGGAAAAACACCCTCATTGAGACACGAATTAAATATAAAACATACGGGCACATGAATAGTTTGAGCAGTAGCTTTCCAAAAAATTGGTGGTATGTTATCCACTCCGGGCCCCTTTGTAATGTCTAAATTTTTTAACTCCCGGAGTACTGCATCACTAGACAGCTGGATATCATTAAGGAAGATATCGGATGCAGGGTTACAACTTGGCATATCGTCAACATCAAGATTGTCGGTAACACATGAGGGTTCAAAAACTGATTCGAAAAATGACGAGAACAGAGAACACGCCTCGTCTGGGTTATAAACTGTGACATTTTTATACGTCATTTTACAAGGCATATCCATTTTATTTCTCCTATTTTTGACGAAGGACCAAAAACATCTTATATTCTTCTGTATACTATTTTCTACCGTTGCTATATACCCTCTGTAACACTCATGCGATACACGTTTAAATCTTTTCCTTAATAAAGAAAAAATTTCATAGTCCGATTTATTTCCATATTTTTTCCATTTAATCCAGTAATTATTTTTATTTTTGTAAATATGGATAAGAGCGGGTGAAAACCAGACTGGAAATTGAGACGATTTAATTACTCTCTTGGGTACATATCGTTTGATAATTTCGTAGATATGTTCGTAAAAAATAGTCACCATTGACTCCGCATCTCTATTTACCAATAGTTCACTCCAGGAAATGTTGGCAATGTCTTGATTTATTAGTGTGTAATCGGCTTTATTAAATTGTAATTGCGTTTTGGGGCGATTTATTAAATTTAAGGAGTTACTACTTATTGGAAAGATTATGTAAAAAGGTGGATGATTAGAGTCTAGTGGAACGAGAGATACCGTGGGTTGTATTAATCTACAATCGGCGATGTCAGTTAGACATAAATCTAAAAGTCGTCCATTTCTATTTCTAAATGTATTATACTGAAAACAATTTAATATAAGCATGAAATTAATAAAGACCTTAGAAGATGCAGTGCAATTGCTTACAAGACGGGGTACGGTATGTACATTGCAATCCTCCCATAATATTTCAGGTAAATTGTAATCCCCTATCAGAACATAATTTGTTATATTAGTGAAATGCAATATGAACATTAAGTAATCTAAATGTGTCGTATATGCGTCCGAATGCGTAGCAGGTGGTATATAAACCGCACTAATAATACAACAGTATCTACGGGAACGCAACTCAATAAGGACATGGTCAATGAGTGGCGACATGGGGCAGGGCGCCCCGGGCGGCACTGCAACCCACGTCGCGTTCAGTTCGGTGCGCACCGCCACCAAGACGCCACCGCCATCGTTCCGACCGCTGCTCGCGCGGTCCCTGTCGCATCGGAACACTCGATAACGAGGATCTATGAATTCATTGTCGCATATATCCCTATGTAGCCACGTTTCAGTCAACACGATTATACTATAATTATGTGACAAAATATTCATAAATAATACATGCAGTTTTGTACGTAAACCTCGACAATTTTGATAATATATAGAGGCTTTGGATTGTTTGGTAATCTATGACTTTGTATTTACAATTTATTTAGTACCTAATCTAATACCTTGTATTTCCAATTCACACAGTTAGCAAATACTTAGAAACCAATAACATACAGTTCCTGTATATAAATATTGGTTTCAGTTCTTACATTCCAAATCTAAATTAAAATAGGGTTTGTTTATTACTACAAAAAGATCTAAAACTGGCCTAATACTATATACTAATTAAAAAATGAGAAAGGATTATTCAGTAATCTAATACTTTGTATTTACAATGCACTGAGATAGTAAATACTTAAAAACCAATAACCTAAAGTTAATGTACCTAAATATGGGTTTGAGTTCTTCCAATTCAAGTCTAAATTAAAATTGGGTTTGTTTAATACTACAAAAAAAAACTATACTAGCCTAGTACTGTACTAATTGTAAATTAAAAAAAACAGGGAAAACTGGATTGGAATAGCAAACAATTGAAATAAAAGTTTGTTTGTCTGATATTGTAGGCATTTGAAATGTTCATAGCCCAGAGCCGAGACCACTATCAGTACATTTTAAGGTATAATATCGGTTGAAGGTAATGATGATGGCCTCAACTGTGGTAAAATTTCAATTAATTTGTCTACAGTACCAGACAAACAATTTAAAATTATATTTTGGTTTTTTATCATATCTATTCTTCTCGACTCCTTGACGCCTTGCCAGCTCCCACTCATGCAGATTTTTTTCCCGGTCTGCCCCTAGTTGCAGTCGGAGATTTTCGACAGCCACAAACTCGCTCGTGGCTCGCTCGAAGGGTGTTTGTACTCGGCGCGTACGCGCTCGAAACAGCCCGTGGCGCCGCGTCATTGATGCGGTGGGGGATGCCGAGGCCGTAGGCGATGGGCTTGTCCGATATCGTCGCCGACGTGGACGCGGTAGGAGACATCGAAGGAGGGCGTCGTAGTTCGCCAGAGGGAGGTGGCAGTGAAGGAGGAGCGGTAGATGCTGATGATGTTGCTGAAAATATATAATTATATATTATACTAACAGTGCCTGTGTGGCTTCGTTTATGTGTACATATTTATATAATTTGCACAGAACTCTAATTCTTTTTAAAAAATAAAAGTAGCCTTAATTACTCCTAATAACACCAGCTGACTGCCAGTGAAAGTCCTGAAATGAATTAAGTGGCAAAAATGTATCTTAAAAATAAATAAAAAGTACCTTGTATGATAAGATGGAATAAAATCCAACATAATTTCATCAGGGTCAGATATTTGGGACGGACAAACTGTATGTACTGCTTGTACAGTATTTCTGGTTGGTGGTGGTAGAGAGTTTCCCTTTGATTGTAGGGCCTGAAAAATATGAAACACATTAATTAGAAATATTACACTTGTTTATATACGATAATACAGTAATAAGTAGACTTGCAACGAATATTCGGTTACTATTCGGTATTCGGCCTATTCGGCTGCTTTTATTATATTCGGCCGAATACCGAATATCTACATATTATTCGGCCGAATACCGAATACTTAAATAATATATTTTGTCATTGAGAAATAATTGGTAAAATGAAAAATTAAAATCGATTGATTACGTATATATTAATATTTTCATTTCTGTTATAATCATTTAAGTAGCCATTGGTGCATAACACAGGTACATAATCATCTTCTGAATAGGAAAAATGGAGGATTCTATGTATTTGAATTATAGTGGTAATCAAAATTTAGAAGGGTAAGGTTCTCATTTCTTTTATAATCATTTATTAAGTAGTCATTGGTACATAAAACAGGTACATAATTTAATTCACGTCTGTACAAGTTTTTGGCGCTAAAATCCAGCCGAATACTTTTGCCTAATATTCGGCTATTCGGTCAGGGGCCTCGCCGAATATTCGGTATTCGGTATACTGCCGAATATACTATTCGTTGCAAGTCTAGTAATAAGCAAAGACCACAAGCAACAGTGGTTTTTATAATAATAAGTATAGTCGTATCTACACATATTAGTGCCATGTATTTCCTTTGTAAATCACGTTCAATCACGCACATCCGATCACCATCATCTTCATCGTTGTAGGGTTACTACCTCTATTCACACACACACACACACACACACACACACACACGCACGCACGGACGCACGCACGCACGCACGCACGCACGCACGCACACACACACACACACACACACACACACATTTTTCTTCACTTCACTTTGCTTTAGCTCTCACCTAATCAAGTTATACCTACAGGATAACACTTACGCATCTAGTGTCAGGAGAGGCTGGTAATCTGTAATACAGGTGTACCTAGTGCAGATACCAGTCTCTCACACAGATTCAACTCACCTATAACTGTGTATCTACTTTAATATGTCAAGATATGTCATTCTGTGTGAGAGAAAATAAAAAATACTTATTATTACTTATTATTATTATTACTTTTTTCCATTTGTCCATTGACTTTATTACTCCTCCACCTGTAGAGTTCAATAAACCTTTCAGTTCCAGCCACAGTCGGTCAGCTTTTATTTGGCCTTGAGGCCCTTGCTGGGGCCTCGTTATATCACCATGGCTAGAACAAGTTAAAACTTTATCAGAGACACAAAGAGTCTATTGATCAAGTAAAGAGTCAAATAGAATTGTTTGGTTCGTTTAGTAATCACTTAATCAGTAACATTAAATGTTGTCGCGTATTACGTCATTGTTTGTTTTAAAATTTCAAGTTCCTGAGTACTTACGAACTTTCAAATAACAAAGGAAGATAATTACGAAATAACTAGTAATTTACGTACCTCTCCATAAATTCCAATAAAGCTGCGAACTGTTCTGGGCTTGCTCGAGCTCTAGATTCCATCCTACAAAAGTTATATCATCATTTAAGGTATTTAAGGTTCATCATGAGACAGGATCTTAACATAACATTTCGAGTCACAGTAATGTTTAATTTACATTCGGCACTGTGACACTATAATAAACTAATAAAAAGAAGAACTTGTGCCTTCTTCACTTACTTCTTTATTACTTTAAACAATTATTACTTCCAAAGCGAAATTTAAATTCCAAACAAAAGTTTATCCCGCGCGCTCAAAGTAAACAAATTTTTGACACAGTGTTGCCAGTGCTCTCAGTCATTAGTTACTTTTCGTTCCCTGAAATGTTACATTTTTGCTACAAAAGTTAAACGTGAAGTTTTTAATAAAGTAGCTATTGTTAGGCACAGTCAGGATTGAACAAAACGTGCACTCACATTGCAAAACGCTGGCTAAACCTTACGGGACGCATCAAAACAATGCACCACAGAACCGTATATCTTTGGAAGATCCACAAAAAAAAGGCCGCGTTCTCATTTTTTTTTCATTCTCATACAATAAATGATGTCATTAAAGGAAATAATTATTTTCATTACAAAAAGAGTTGTGTTTCAAACCTAAGGGGAGTTATGAATACTACTGCATTTTGAGGACTGATCATGCATCTAGTGATAGTATTATCACGTTATCATCATCATAGTGTCTTCAAGCCGAAACCCAATCATGATGTCTCTTGAATCGCGAATCATCACGTACATTGAATCCAATCAGTGTAACAATAAAAATTTACACGCTCTTAAAGCTCTTTAGTGCTGAACAAAAAGGACATTTTAATTTTAATCAAAATTTCAATATCAATCTTGATTTTAATTGATCATAATTGTATACATTTTGCATGCCTTGCAGTAGAATCGCTTGAAACATGATAATAACAATAATTGTAGCAGTGTTTCCTGAAAAAATAAAGATTTGACTTTGGATTGAAAACCCTCACTCGTCAGAGCATGATATAAATTTTTTTTATTAAATTTTTGGCTCATACAAGTCTAAGTGATAATTTACCATGGTTATTTTGTATGGTTGTGCCATTATTTTACAAATATAAAACAGACCACATCTATTAGCAAAAAAATATCCATCTAAAAATAAAAATGATCCATATATTTTTAGCAAGAAAATGTATAAAACTTACGTTTTCCCAGTTATGAACGTGACAAGAAAGTAATGTTTTCTTGTTTATTCCACTTCTGACTTGTTAGGTACAGTTTCATACAATTATTCTTTACCACACTTGTTACTCCACTTAATGCCAACCAACGAACGACTCCCTGTCCTATGGGCTCGTGGCCCTTTATACAAAAAAACCATCTTAAGCCCCGCCCTTAGTGTCGGGGCAAACTTAAATCAAATCTTTGTACGAGTATTTGACATGATCCATTAAAATGTATTTCAGCATTAAGCAATTGACAAATTGTCCTTATATAACTACTTGACCCACAAACAACTAAAAGATGCTCGCTCATATTATCATATCATTAACAATACGTACTTATTAATACATTTAAGGTAGGCACTCGTATCATGATAATTTGAAAAACTTTAACGCTGAACTTACCTAACAAACAATAAATGTGATCACCAGAACTTCACTCACGCACTTTTCTCGTAGTTGTACGATAACAAGGAATGGCGCGAACTCGCAAAGTAGGAAACGTGCGCGCACAAGCTCAAGCAAAATCAAGTTTAAAAACATTCAAGATACGTTTCATTTTGTTATGGCGCGTTCCATTAAGAGCCATCTCTGAGTGTGATATCATATCACAAAAGTATTTCACTCGACATCACTGGTAAGGAGTTAAAGTGAAATACTTAAAGTTGAAAGTTAGTAAATTGTTTGCAATAAAAATCTAGTATTACAAATCTCGTTCTTCTCATAAGTTACGATAATTGCCTTACATTTTAAAATTATATGTTACGCGAAGGGTCAAGTCACGAAAAATGTAAGAAATGTTACGTTCTGGCAACACTGGTTTGACAAAGTTAATTTGACGTTAATAAGAAAGCTCACCATAGACTAAAGTATAGATTTTTTCCAAGTACATGGTAGAACGAGCGATCAACTAATTCGTGTCAACTTGGCTAGCAACTTTGCGTTTTCTAAAATCGTTTACGACGAGGAGTCAACGAATGTAGAAAGAGATTCGATCCGATACATTTGTAACTTGGCTGGGCCTGCAGAGGGCGCTTCGTATGCGTCAGGTCCAAACAGCTGTCAGATAGCACAGATTCTTACCGAACGTATAATTTTTTAGTGAAATTCTATGATTTTTTTTACAAAACAATATTCCTTTTATAACGTTTTTAAGAATGAAGAAACCAAAAAAATGATCGAAAAATACAAATCGTGTATGTGTTTTAACAGGTGGTTGGAACTGACGCTACAGTCCTGCCATCTCACGTGGAACATTTCAGAAAACCCTCATTTCATAATCTCGAGGCGGGAAATTTGGAAGTGACTATAGTGTGCGTTGCCCCAGGGGAAAAAGTTCAAATATCATTATTGAGTTTAACAGATATTTAGTGTATGACGTCGTGTAATTGTGTATCGTAAGAAAAAATTGTGCATCCAACCATTGAGGAGTTATTCACGAAAAACTGCTTCCGTTGGGACAAAGTTGTCCCAGCGTTACTTTTTTTATCCTACGGACGTAGAAAAAAAAAAGATTTCAAAAATTAGTGTATGACATGAGGTAATTGTGTATGTTTAAATGAAATTTGTGTGTCAATAAACCGCAAAGAAATTCAAGTTTCTGCTGCGCCAAAGTCTGGTATAAAACGCTTTTCTAGAGAGATGTAGATTTTTTCATACAATTTGAATTTGTTAATACTGTTTGTAAAAACGGATTTAAAAAAAAAACTATACCATTAAGAAAATATAAACGTAATTTCTTTTTTTATATTAGAGGAGGCAGACGGATCATCGCCGCTCATGAACGTCTGCAACTCAGGAGATCATGTTATTAGGTCCTAGTACTTAATGTTTGTGCACCATTGTCTAGTTTATAACGTTTATACATACCTTGTAAGCATCTACAACGTCTTGCCAAGTATCAATAGTTTAGTTAAAAACACTGCTATTTAATAATTATTATTACGCTACCACAGACCAGCGAAAGGTCTAATAAAAAAAAAGAAAAGGTAATCTCTGATTAAAAGAATTTTGATTGGTTTTAATGCCATTTAGCTTTGTCTATGTCAAAATCACAATCACGTGTGAGATCGCTATGACTAAAACCAATGAGATCATCAAATGAATATGATTTAAAAGTGGCCATGGTGCAATCCATGATAGTGCCGCGACATATTAATTTACTAAATGATAAAATATAGAGATGTTACAACAGAACCACCTACCTACCTATCTAGGTTGTGTTGAACGTTGCGGGCAGGCGATAGTTGCCTAGACCTCGTCTGAGAGCTAACATTACCAGCTTGGTTTTGGGTGGTTTGTCCCGTTGTCCGTGTGGTGACGGATTAAGAATACGGAATGTCACCACCCCTATACATCCCGTGGGTGTCCTAAGAGCCGACTAAGGGATCAAACTAATCAGGACAACAACACGGCAAAGAGAAGGAAAACTTGAAACAAACCCTATATCAACCCGTCTGGCCAGCGTGGTATAGTAGGCCAAAACCTCCTTTCTAAGGAGAGGCCTATGTCCAGCAGTGGACTCTTATAGGGTATTGATGACTAACTGGTCATAATTAATGCACTATCCCTCCAACTAGCGCAGAGCAGACTGAGTGGGCTCGCAGAGCGTAGGTACTAGTTACCTTACATGATAAAAATACTGTCAAATCATTCGCGTTGACAAATAGTTATGAGGTGATGTATGACCACATTCCACAGGATCGGTGACAGTACTGCAGCACTCCTAGTCGTGTTATAACTTTAGAGATTCGACTCTTCTCCAGGAAAGGGGTGTGTTCATAGTAAAAGATTCGCAATTAAAATGTATTTTTGCCGAAAAAAAGTGTTTACAATTATCTAAACATTCACTTTTAAATTTTTAGGGCGCTTCTGTCGTCCGTCTTCTGGGATTATGTCCAAAATTCAAATTCTAAACGCAATCTAGGGGATCTTTTTACATTTCAGTACATGATATATATCTAAGAGCATAATATGCTGCAGTACACAACTCTATGGGCAGCTAGGAACCGTTATATTTTATTTTTGAGATAAGAGTGTGTGGGTATGAAACAGAACACTGTATAAAAGAGAAAGAATATGAAGATACCGTCGAAAACGTATTGGTAGCCAGTTGAGTTGAAAACGATACTGATTTGTGATCATATTTGCGTAATCCAAATATGAATCTGATGCTTAGGTTTTGGAGTCGTTCAAGTTTATTCAGTTGGTCTTCGGTGAGATCCAGATAGCTGACATCGCCATAGTCAAGGATAGGATGATTGTGCGAGCGCACGTAAAGCCTCCAGCCAGGACGACCAACACTCGTTTACTCAGAATCGTTTCATGGGAGAGCACCGCCATCACCCTCTGAGGATGCTAGAGGCACGTCTTATTCTGGCCGTTCAGACCATGTAGTGTCATTAACTGTTCAACAAAATCATAATCTATGGTTCGACATAACACTTGAAGCGCAATCGTTCTAACTATAGCTATCTTTTTTACTCACGTGCTTATCTTTTGTACTATTCATTAATGCTACTTGTCAACATGTGTGCACTATATCGGTATATAAGTATATATATATATATATATATATATATATATATATAGCGCGATCAGATTTGAAGAGTCAGTTACTATGAACGTAACATATCTTGTGTCTAAAATCATTGTGTTTCGTATTACCATTAATTCGGACTTTTTGTTATTCGATCTATTGAAACTCTGTATTTTGAGCATAGTAATTATTAACGTTCACATCACATCAACAGCCTTTAATAGTCCACTGCTAGACATAGGCCTTTTCTTAGAAAAGATGTGTTAGGAATATTGAAATTTTTGAATTATGAAAATAGGATGAATGATCAATCAGAGTTGTCAGGAGGAATTTTAAACCACTCGGAATTATGAAAATCGGTATTTTGAAATTCGTATTTGTGCCTGACGGAATTTACGGAATTTATTTCTAATTTTACGGTAACATGTTTGCGTAATCTTATGACGTCACACTGCGCCGTTGCTGAGATCTCATCCTCTACCTGTAAGGTTTACGTAATGAGCTGCTATTTTCAATATTCACATCCTATTGATCCTCACTTATATCACTTACGTTACGTCTTGCAGTTCCTCGTGGGACATAGAATTATCATTGGCGCTGATGTCAATGCGTCATCTTCATTATGGTATGGCAAGTTGCGTTCAACCGACACGGTTCGACGTTGTGCGGCTGAAGATTTCATTGCGGAAATGAATCTTACTATTCACAATACCCCCGATGCACCACCAACTTTTTGCATCCCAATGGGTGAGTCTTCTATTGACGTGACGCTTACGCGCGGCGACGTCTCGATATCCGGATGGCGTGTCCTTCCGGATATCAATAAATCAAATAATATTTGCAATGCCTGGAAAAGGCTTCTAAGTTGGGACTACTACATATAATATTATAAGATCATTGATGTACACTTGGTTGGCAAATAAAGATTTGATTTGATTTGATTTGTACAATAATGCTCTAATTGCTCTTAGAGTTGCCAGGTCCCACATATACGGAGCTACTGAGCTGAATAGCTTGCAGGTGGACATTTGGGGCGGTATACTATGGGGATCTTGTGTCAACTAGGGTGAATTTCCGTGCGTTTAGGCGATTCTGCCATACATATTATAGAAATCAAATATAGCTCACGTAGGATCCGTAATATTTGTGGCCGTGGTGCTTCCCTGTTTAAAAGGGTGTATGCCCATTTTACTTCATTTTGTCTCCCGCTTTGCTAAGGAGGGAAGTGGATTTACTGTATTTCCAACTCCTCCAATTTTCTTCTGATTAATTTCGTTGCGGGTTCCAAGACAGTTTAATTTCTGCCTGGGACTTCCC